TATATATTATTTATATTATTTATATATTATTTGGAATCAATTTCTATATTTATATGTATTATACGTATATTCATTTTTTTAAATCTTTTATGGATTATCGTTACATAATTCGAGAGATAAAAAATATTGATATAAAGTCTAGTAGAGAACTTTATTATCAAATTAAAATCTTAGCATTCTGATGCATCGATGCAAATTCCAATGATGTCACGTAATTCGAAATAAATATTTTGTATCGATGTTTTTACCTCATTGTCGTCGCAAGTTTTTTCACTCGCTTCGAGTTGAAACGGCATAACGTTGATTTCCGATGATAAATCGATCAGAATGTACTTTTAGTAGTCTGTAAAGATTCTCCCACTCTTATGCAACAATTCTCTGGTTGACTAATTCTTGCAAGGACGCACGTATCTAAGGTAAACGTTTGTTACTTAGAAACGCTGTGAAGATCGATCGATGGAGGCAAGAATAAATATTTGTGCATAAGTTAATAGAAATTTTATGAAAGAAGCTTAAACACAAGTTGAGAAAATGAAATTAGGTCAGATTTATTCATCACTGTAGATAAGAAAAAAAAAATACAAGAAATGCAAGAATATACAATTCCTAAATTACATAATTAATCAATTGCATTACAAAAAGTTCAAAATTTATTTAAAAACTTATTTAAAAGCATCGAAAAGTATATTAAAGATCATTTATTTAAAAATATATATATTTTGGAAAAAATACATTTTTTTGAAAATGTGGAATTTCTTTAATTGTTTTTTCTCTACTTTTTTTTTTTACAATCTTATAGAACTTCTTAATCATTTCATTACGCACGATTTCGTGAATAACTTGTGTTTTATTATAAGGATACAATGTTACATTACAGATAGACGTATTTAATAATTGTTTTTATTTAATTGTACATTGTATTTTTAATATTTGTAATATTTCCACCAGCGCAATTTTCTCGATCACGAGCTTCGGAAAACATCGCGTTTTCATTATCATTTAACAGTTCCTTTTCTTCCTACTAACATCTC